AGGGCGTGCCAGTCAATTTGACCTGCAATTGATAATGGGAGAAAAGTTTATCAGTAATTTAGGGTGGAACATGCTGGTTTTGTCCAGACAGTTCCAAGTGTGCCGCTTCGGGAGAAGCCAGACGGGAAAATCGACTAAATAGCCGATACGAGAAGAAACCGGCTGTTAAGGACTGTGATATTCATGGGTCATGATTGATTCATGATAACAAGTACAATGCCTCCAGATATAAGTAACATCATCAGCTAGGTGGATTTAACCAGTGTAAAGGATTGAGCCGATAAGTTTAACGAGAAAAGATGTAACATGTGAACAAATCGACTGTCTAGTACAAATAAATCTACAAACGATCTAAATTTAATATGTTACCATCAACAGTAAAGATAGACCGGATCGATACAGCTATGATAATGATAATAAACTAGAGCCAAAAAATCCATAAAACCATCTATACGTTGACAGGTTCATGAAAAACATGCTATATGTGTGAAAGCACAGACGAATCGGCTTCGGGTAGGAAAGGGATCATAGCATGAGAACAATCGACTATTTAATACGAACAGATCTATAAACTCATCAAATCTAGCATATTATCTTTAATAGTGAGGTTCGACCGAATCGATGACAACCATAATAAAGTACGGGCCATAATAACAGATTAAACCTTTAAAGTAAACATATCTATTCATATTTAATAGAAACATGAAAACATACTATGAGTGTTAAAGTACGGGCGATCGGCTATTTAGCCGATGCAGACATAGCAAACAACCAAAGTCATGTCTGGTCGAAAGCAAATCTATCAACTAGCATCATCCGATCTAAAGTGCTAACAGTGGAGATCGAGCTATAGACCAGATTCAACTAGCTGTAAACCTTCTCAAGATCAGACATGCCTTAACCGCGTACTATGCATGATCAAGATCAAAGTAAAATAGCCGATAAAACATAATCCACCGTTTAAAGTAAGAACCATCACAATATGACAAAATAAACGATGGACTAAAAGGATGTGAGACCGATCTAGATCGATCTCGATCGGACAAGTTGATATTGCTGAAAAAACTAATGACAATAAGAACATCAGCAAGATCGGTAACTTAATGAATCTACCCGAAAGATGTCACCCTTAGGTAGAGCCAATAACTTGACCTTAATCTAATTCGAGCAATGGAGGTCAAACTTAACTGATGCAGCCGTACTTGAACTAAATAAGGATCGATAACTAACTTGTACTAGAGCTCATAAGAGGTCGGCCGAACCGATGCAGCCTTACGAACAAAAGTATAAGCCATGACGGTACTTACAGACAAACCGGAGATCGACCGGACCGATGTAGCCCTACTTGTTGAAGAACTCGCCGAGATCTACACTACTCCTACTCCTAAGGGTTGGCGTGAAGAAAAAAAGTAATTGGTATTGATTGATTGGATCTCTTTTACAATAGCCGGGGTCCAATATTTATACCCAGAACCTAAGCATGAATCCTACTCAAATACGACTTATTACAATATTTGGAATAAAGAAAAATATTTCTAACTTAAGATAACTTGGACCCAGTCTTTCCCTTTTTATAGAGTCCGACATTTTCCTCGACGCCATCCGTACCTAGTCCATTGACATTGTTTGCTGACGTCATCTATGAAATAGCTGATTTCCGATACCGCATCAAAACCGGCCGATATCGATTCACATCTGATCGATCCCTTGACGATACAATCTTGGAAGCTTCAAGTTCCCGCGTTCTTATTCCTAAATTTTGGTGTAAACACTAATCTTCCCCACTAAGCAAAGTAAAAGGATTTAGCATAAAGTGGCCTTGTCTTATTTGCAATGCATCAACACACGACAGGTGTATCTACCAAGTTTTCTTTTATATAAAGTTCACAAGCCAAGTTGCTGCTCTAGCCGTAGCCATCATGGTGTAGGAACCTCCGGTCCGGCTTAAGTGTAGCTTGATTGGTGTTAGCAAGAGTGCCACTGTGCCAGTACAATTAGCATGCACATGATAGCAAGTACTCTCTCTCCGTCCTAGAAAAGTTGATGTTTTATGGTTCAAAATTTGTCAAAAAACTTGATGCTTTAGCTCCCGAAACTAGAGTAGGCCCATATCAACTTGACAGGTCTGCATTGCTTTTAATTAGCGACTTATTTCTTAATTAGCAAGAGTCAGTCAATAAATACCTATAAAAAAAGAGTTAGTCAATAAATAGGGCTACATGGGTAATTTCAATTAACCACTAAGTAAAATATCAATGTGAGTTTCATGGATATTAAATAAGCTGATATGGCATGGTATAAATAAAAAGAGAGGCGATAAAAGTTTCATGGGATGAAAGGAGTCTTTGAAAATAGGAACATGAAACCTCCACTAAGGCACGGACCTAATCTATCCTAAAAATCATAAAACACCAAGTTTTCTGGGACGGAGGAATTATTACAAACCTGGTAGGTGGTGGCCAGTGGATGCAACATCCACAGGTATTATGGGCCCTTAGTGAAATTCTTGATTTACCTGTTCCTAGTCGTCTTGAATTATATGTCGATCAGGAATGAAACACTAGGGCTTTGTTTAGATGACATCCAAATTCTAAGTTTTTTACTCTCTCCATCATATCAATTTTTAGCCGCTTGCATGGAGTATTAAATGTAGGTAAAAAAATAACTAATTACACAGTTTAGTTGAAAATCACGAGATGAATCTTTTGAGCCTAGTTGGTCCACGATTGGATAATATTTACCAAATAAGACGAAAGTGGTATTATTCATCAGGTTGCAAAAATTTGCAAAGTGAACAAGGCTTAGGTTTAGTTGACATGTCTAGTGATCTAGTAATAGATGATGTACTCGTCAACACTAGTAGTCTTATATATGGTAAGTTTGTCAATCTCGTGATATATTGATCCAATCTCTCTTAGACGTGCATAGGTGTGTTCGCGCATGTACGTGTTATGCATATATGGACATATACATCTCTAGTAGTATTATTTTATTTATTAGAACGATAGTTATTTGGTGTTAAGAAGACAAAAGGTCAGCCAAGCAAGACAGCGCAGAGCTGATGGAACCAAGATGACTATAGCGAGTACGAGTTGAGTGTAGGAAGCTCTAAAATTGATGTAGATCTCGTCAGCTCCAAGCGATTTCCGCTCCTTTCTACAATGCATAGACGGTAGGAGTCGGTAAAGTAAAAAAAAACAATAACTTTATCACTTCCTAATTTACACTAAGAAAAAATGGTACCATGTCATTAAAAATATCTATGTGACATCAACTTCGTATTAAAATCATATTGAAAATAGATAAAACTCCTACTAAAGATGCCTTAAATGTATGACTAGATGTGAGCCGCACTACACCAACAAAAATAGTTGTAGTGTAAACAAAGCGCTTCTAGAAGCTCTTCTTCCTTCTTGGTCGAATTGTCTTTGTCTCCCTGCACGAACGCGGAAACAGAAGGAAATTTCCTGGACAGCTATGGAACGGCACGAAATGGAACGGAAGGCAAGAGGGGGCGCATGTCGGCACCTCCTGTGATTTCTTTTTTACCCTTCGCTTTTTGATTTCAGTAAGGCTTATTTAAACAGTCACAGTGTTTTCCTCTCACAGAAAACCAGCACCAGTCAGTCTAAACCAGCACCAATCAACGAACACGTCGGTTGAAACATTTGTTTCCACTTTTTTTTCTATTTTTCAAAAGCTATAAAATTATGCTCACAAAATTATCGCACAAAACCTATAACTATAGTTTATTATCATAATTTTCTCAATATAGTTTTAACATAATTTTGTACACAAACGTAGTCATGATAACTTTTTAGCATGAAAAAAATAGCCTTATTATTACTATTTTCAAGCTATTTATAGAAATTAATATGACATAAACTTACATACGAATTTATACTCCCAAATTATGTAGAGAAGTTAATATATACTCCCTCCGGGTTGGTAAAAGAAATTATTTTGGACAAGGTTTAGGTTAAACATTGAGAATATAAATCATGAATAATTTTTAAGTTGCTGAGTTTGTAAATGTAAAAACCATATAAATAGATTTGTCTTGAAAAGTACTTTCATAAACATATACAAATACCACTTTTCAATAAATATTTTTAAAGAAATAATTAGTCAGAGTTATGCTTTGGAGACCGTGTCACTGTCCGAAACGACTTCTTTTACCAACCTGGAGGGAGTAACACATTCATATACCAAACTTATTGTCTGACTACCTCAAGGGATGGTTACAAACCTAAATACTTCATCAACTTAGTGGGCAAAGAATGTTTAGGGTGCAGTTCGAGACTTTGTACAATTCGATTAGTCGGAAGCTCCTTGTAACTGACTAGAAAACCAACGAACGACCGATCAAGCTATGACTCTATCTGTGACCATGGCATTCGGACTATATACGGAGATATGGGGATAGCACGCGATGCACAAACGATAAAACTCTCCACATATAGCAGGGATTGGACATTTCTTGTATACACCAAGCTGTATAACTGTGTGCAATCTGTTTGATCTTCTGCGATTGATTATTATTATATATAGAAAACCCATACAAGCACAACCAAAAATCTTTATGCAGGACTAAAATATATACAATACGCGACCACGTACAAAGATTGTAAAAGATAATTTATACGTATAAAGGTATACTTAAAAATTATTTATATATATATATATATACGAATTTGTATGACATAAAATTATATATACAAATTGTAAGTGGGAACATGAGTAAAAGGAAACTGAATAAATAATGATCCTACTGAGAGTGAAAGCAAAGGAAGCTCCCAGAGTCCCTAGTCGCCACTCGGCAGTCCCCACCTTTGTTGATTGATTTCCCTGTCCTCTACTTCTCCAACCAACCCCTCCCATCCGGCAGTCCCGGACATCGCATCGCCTCCATCCTCCATCGCATCACCAGTTGACGAGAGGTAGCGAGGAGGACCCGACCACCACCGGCCGGAGCCAAGACCCCGATCCATCCATCAGCCATGGACGCCTCCTGCGACCGCGAGTTCTGGAACTTCAGCGACCAGCTGCGCCTGCACAACAACTTCTCCAACCTCTCCATCGCCGACTCCATCTGGTCCTCCACCTCCTCGCCACCGGATCCCTCCTTCTTCCCCGGCGGCAACACCAACGCCCCGGGCCTCATCGGATCCGCCAAGCTCGCCTTCGGCCACGCCACAACCACCAGCGCCGACCGCTACAACGCCAACGACGCCGGTGTTGGTTCCAACAACGCCGCCGCCAGCAAGACCATGAGCGTGAACGACTACTACCTCAACAAGAACGCCAACGCCGCCGCCAGCAAGACCATGGACGTGGCCGACTACTACTACCTCAACAAGAACGCCAACGCCAACAACGACGCCGTCAAGAGCTACTTCAACAAGTCCGTCGGCAGGCCGGCCAACAACAACAACGTCGGCGGCGGCGGCAAGAAGAACTCCGCCGCCTTCGCCGCCCACCACGACAAGAAGCACAAGAACTCCGGCAACGGCAACGGCGCCGGCGTCGACAAGAGGTTCAAGAGCCTGCCGGCGTCAGAGGCGCTGCCCAGGGGCGAGGCCATCGGCGGGTACATCTTCGTCTGCAACAACGATACCATGGAGGAGAACCTCAAGAGGCAGCTCTTCGGTATGCAAGCTGCATCGTCCCCGTCTTCATTTCCCATTCATTGATTGATTGGATCGATTATACCCTACATACATATTCCAGCATCGGATATGTACCGAATCGAATCAAGATCAACTCCCAAGTTTTGATTTTTGTTCTTCCATTCCAGTTCCATCCAATCGGAATACTGAATCATTCTCTTGATCGATTGCCTGCCCTGCAGGGCTGCCGTCCAGGTACAGGGATTCGGTGAGGGCCATCAGGCCGGGCCTGCCCCTCTTCCTCTACAACTACTCCACCCACCAGCTCCACGGCATCTTTGAGGTCCAGATCAATACCTACTCTTTTATATTTATTTATTATTATTCATCATATCGATCAGATGATACATGTGTACTCATCATTTCAGCATCTTATCTTCCATTCATGTATGTCTTTAATTTCATACTGAAAAAAGAGAGAAATTTCTCATCATCTATGGCACGCACGCAGGCTGCAAGCTTCGGAGGATCCAACATCGATCCAAAAGCTTGGGAGGACAAGAAGTGCCCCGGCGAGTCCCGCTTCCCTGCTCAGGTAGGCATCTGTTCTGATATTATCCTAAACAAATCAACACAGGAGGCTCAACCTTAAATATTTGCCTCGTTCTATGTACTCAAATCATATTACCACAGAATTATTAGTTTATGTGAAATAATAAGCAAAGAAACAAAAAAAAAGATAGGGAGGATTAATTAGATTACTTGGTTCATGTGATCCTGCACATCAATCAAGCAAAAAAATTGCAAAAATGACACTCGAAACATTGACTCCTTGATTACGACGACACTCGGGAGGATGACAGGTGGGTCCATCTATGTGTATATGTATATGAGTCCAGTGTCTAAACCGTAAACGATCGATGTTTCAGAGTCCCGCCTAATCGTCAAAAGAAAAGAAAAATGCTTGCTTTAGTTGCATGCACAGAAAAGTAGTGGTGGTAGGACTGGATGCTTCTAATTGTCTAAGTCAAGGTGGTTGGCCGACCTTATCAATGGATCAAGTTGTCAAACTTTGGTTGGGTGAATGTGGCCTTGTCAAGCTTTTGCCTTGTTGGCCTAGTCATGTCAATATGTTTATGTCATGCACACACAAAAGCCAAACACATACTGTCGGTGTGACTTGAGTCAGTCGCCCGTCTCCATCTGTTTCAACTGACTTCCGTGTTGATCCGGTCTAATAATGTTTTGATTCAGTCTAGTAATATCTGATCTAATCCCTGTTTTGCTTGCCAATCTTGACCAATAGGTGAGGGTTGCAACGCGCAAGATCTGTGATCCGCTGGAGGAGGACGCTTTCCGCCCCATCCTCCACCACTACGACGGCCCCAAGTTCAGGCTGGAGCTCAGTGTCCCTGAGGTGAGCTTGAATACTTACTACTGCTACTGCTAGCTAAGCTACTGTGCAAGTGCAAAGGCTAATCCAGAAAAATTTCTCATGTGGTTGCATGCAGGCACTCTCCCTCCTTGATATATTTGCAGAGAAGATTTTTGCCTGAGTTAATACACATGTTATTACATAATATTTGCGTGTATGTATGTATGTATCTGCTTCCTTCCAGAGGACTAGAGAGGGAAGGAATAAGAGTATAAGGCTGCTTGTATAATGTTAACAATATATGCTGGTTAGCAGCAACTGATTATCTATTCTAGTATATAAGTTATACTGGAACTTTGCCGTTTTGTATCAGATCAGAAGCAGGCAGCAGCATGCCCTTTTGTATAAGAAGAAACCAAGTTTAGGTATACACACAAATACCATGCCTCTACGTATGAACAGAGATAGATAAATTCAAGGAGGCGATCTCGGTTGAAATGAGGATTACTTTATGGAAATTCCTAGCCACAGCTTTTTCTGTCTGTCAAACTGAGACAATTTTAGATTGAAACTAGCCAGTACCCCGCGCGGTGCCGCCGGCGATAATAGCAAGCAATCCACGCAGAGACAATGCTATTTGTTAGCTTGGACATGCAAAAGAATTATGAGAACTTTAATATAGCCAAGTATTTTGTGATGAAACGCTGGAACAAATAAAATCAGAAAGTGGCATTTTATTGGAAGGAAGGAAATTGTTTGGAGACCACATATGTACAATTATACATCACTACTCTGGCATCGTAATCTAGAAGTATGGGTTAAGTCTAGGAAAATATTGGACCTAAACTTGCAGGATCGGCATCCCTGCAAGATTAGGTAGCCTTGTTGGATAGTACAACGTGTAGATGAACCAAAAATGACTAATGAAACCGATAAAACATAGCACAACATGTAATCATTGTAAGACAGGCCAATATGTATTGAGGTCTTCACTCTTCAGGTAAGTAGCATACATTAGTAGAAAGGCAGATTAATCAGAAAACACATTAAAGAGGTTGCAGATTTGTACAACTCAATTTTATAGGGAACCACTCCTTTCAGTAAGCCACCATTATAGTGGTTGGGGGATTCATGAAATGTTTGTTTATTAAGGTTTATTGGCCCGTTCGCGTGTCCTTAAATCCGGCTTGGTTCGCTTATTTTTTTTTATCCGGAACAGTGTTTTTCTCTCACAAATTCCTCCAATATTTCTCGAAACCATCCAGATTCCTCCAGAATTCAGATAAGCGAACAGGCCCATTGATCTTAGCGACAAACAACAATGGCTACAAAAGCACATTAATATTAGTTATGAAAATAAGCGCCGTTCGGCTGGTAAGAAAACCAGCCGAAATTCACTGTTCACGCTCTCACAAATTCCTCCAGATTCTTCCAAATTCCTCCCAACGAACAGGGTTATATGAAGTGTTTGGTGCTCATCTAAAATAATAGTGATGGGTAAAGCATGAACATTTAGTTTGATGGCAAAGATGGTAAATCTGAGGCTAATGTGGACAGGACATGCGTGCTGATTACGGAAGTATTATTGGTCATGAAATTAAGAGGATGAATTAGAAGAGCACGCGTACCCCAAAAACAATTTTCCTTGCCGTAAGCATTGGCCGTGTATAATGATTTCTTCCCAAAATCTAATAGTGAAATGAATGGAAGAAGCACTGACTGTCTATGCTGGTAGCAAATGACTCTCGAATGATTGGTCTATGCAAACTCAAAATATGCATTGAGCATTGGACGCCATTTCTTAGCACTTTCAGAGCATGTAACTCTGCATTCTTATGGATACAGACTGATAAGTCTTTTTGAGTTTCACAGAAAAAGAATGAAGGCAACCCATCTGAAGGCAATTTTCATATACACTAATAAATATAGTGCCATACTCAAAATTACTTGTTGGTCTGAATATTACACTGACTTTGTTTTCCATGGGAAAAAGGTATGGTGCTATATATTACCTCTTCATGGAGTTCAGAAACAATGATCATAGGTATGTCCTGAGTGATAGCTCCGACGAACTGAACAACATTTACCATCACTTCATGCCTGAAAGAGTTTCTGAAACAAAAGAAGAGACATTTTGGTTAAAAAAAAAAGTCAGAGCGACAGATATTTCTCCAGTACAATAACTTCTTAGCAACTTGGATGTACAAAAAAGTCAGACTTACCCCGTTCGGCTGGCAGAATTTTGGCTGAAACTGGCTAAAAAACACGGTTCTGGTTGAATTGTTGTGAGAGAAAAATCACTGTTCCGGCTAAAAAAAGAAGCCGAACAAGCCGAATATAGCTTGGAATAGAGGGAGTATATCATTAATTTCGAAAACATCATTAGTAACTGAGTACAGATATTTATTTCAAAAAAGCTGAGCAAACATGTAGTAATAGTCTTTTTAACATCACAGAATTATTAGTCAATGCAATGAAATAAGTACTAACACTCCCACTCTGGATTCATCTTTGCTGATGGACTGATGCTATGGTGTTCAGCCATTGTTCGTCAGCAACCCCTACACTGTCATGAACTGCATACATATTTTTTTTTTTTGTAAATCAGTGGCTCTAACAAATGATAGCTTCCGAAAGAGATGAAGTAAAAGGGCCGTTGCAGGAGCAATGGGGCCCGTCGCGCCACCGGTCAAGGGCACAGGCAGGGCGGCGGCGCTGCAGCCCCGCGTCGCGTCGCAGCTGGGTGGAGGGAGGAGTGCCGGAGGCGCCGATGCCGGAGGAAGGGGCGCTGCTCGCCCTGCGTCGGAGCGCCTGAGAGTGCGAGACAGGACCGATTTTTTTTTTTTTTTTAGCCATTTTTTTAAAAAGTTTTTCATAAATATGCCTATAGAGATATGATTTTAAAATCTGTACCTTTAGCTCGGTGTCATTGTTGGTGGCGCCGAGGTTACACGTCTCGGTGCCTAGCAGACAGCTTGGCGCCGTAGATCCGGGAGCCTTGGCGTCGTAGATCTTGGCGTCAAGCTTGACGCCGTAGATCTTGGTGCTGAGCTTGGCGCCGTGGTTATTGGCGTCAAGCCCTGTCTTACGTATGGGCCTCCCTTTCTTTCTCTCTCCTCTCTCTCTAACGCTCCCCGAACCAGCGTTGTCGTCACCGCCGCCGCCGCCACAGTAGCAGCCCGCCGCCACCGCGCCATGCCCAGCCGCCACGCCATCACGCCATCAGACTTGCCGCCGCGCAGCCCACGCTGCCACACTGCACATCCCGCAAGGCCGCCTGCAGCAGCCTGCCGGAGCGCTCGACAGCGCCAGCCGCGACACGGCCCCTGCTCCCCAAGGCAACCTCGCCGTCGATCCCGTCCTCCACGTTCGCGTCGCATCGTTGCATTGACTTGGACAGGTAAAATTTTTAAATATGCAATGTAGGTACTTATTTAACTTGAATTATAGAGCTACTTAGATTATTTGGTAGTTTCTAGTAAATGACATGATGTAGGTAGTTGATTTAGTTAGTGAGATAGATATAGTTAGATAGCTAATGACATAGGTACATAGATATAGTTATTAGATAGCTAGTTGATTTAGTTAGTGAGATAAATAGATAAATATAGTTAGATAAATATAGTTAGATAGCTAGTGACATAGTTATTTAGGGTGTAGTTGGTTAGTATCTATTAAAGAGGTACTATATAACAGCTACTTGGGACTAAATGAACTGTATTTAAATTTTTGTTTGAACTACTAGATGAACAATTTAGTGAGCATATATCATGGAGGTACCGTGGAAAGAGATCGCTATGGATATGTTGAAATGCAAAGCGTGCCTGTGTTATTCAATAAGAAGCCATCGTTTAGTAAGTTTGTTGCAAGGGCTCGGGAGGAGCTACATTGCCATGGAGATGATGATGATGATGATGACATCGTAGTGGAGGGTGTACTTCACCTAGGTTCTCCTCCCAACACCCTTGGAAAGATGATCCCAATTGAGTGTGCAGACCAGTGTGAGAACTATGTTAGATCGGCTATGAAGTGTCAGTTCCAAAGTTTGGACGTGGTTGTGCGTCGGGTGTTAGTTGATCCCATCCCTAATGGGTTTTTTCCACCAATGGGTCAGTAGGCACACTTTGACCCTCCCGTCCCAGAACCTGATATGGATGTGGAGGTTGCACCTACGGTTCCCGATGCTCAATCTGCTCCCAATATGCTAGTTGGAGATGCTTGTTAGACTTATGATGTTGTGGCAGATCCTGCTCATGAGATCCTTTTGACACAGAATCATCCGAGTAAGTGTCTTATCCGCATGGTTATTAGGAGCTTACCCCATTCCTTACATCCAATTTTTCATTCTTTCCTCATTTTTCTACTTATGTTGCAGCAGACATTCCTGACAATGTGGATGTACCCACTGTTGCTGCGCAAGTGCTATGCAGAGATGGATTTCGTGGCTCCAATAGTATTAAAATTATGAATGATTTGGAGCCATATGAGATGGTAAGGGCTCTTAATTCTGATGATGATCGTCCTGTTGGAGAGCTAACATAGAGTGATGTTGAGATGCTGAGGCGTATCTTTCCCGACCGTCGTGATCCAAGAGTTCACGAGTTCAGCGATCTTGCTCATTCCGATCAGGCGTGTGCAGAAGGACGTGATGATGAGCTGCTAGAAGCTCCTGAGGCCGGCCCTAACATGGTAATTGAGAATGGGAGGGTATTCAAGGACCTCCCTGCATTGAAGAGGTGGTTGTAGGGGTTTGTAGTGATACGAAAGAGACCTTACAAGATCTTGCATTCATATGCGGAGCGCCGTTACACAGTTATGTGTGACAAGGAATGCTGCCCATGGAGGGTTTGTGCAAGGAAGCAAAAGGCCACCGGAAAGTAGAAGATCACAAAAGTTGTCGGGCCACACAATTGTGCTGACCATGTGTTGACACTGAAGCATCGATAGTTGACATCTACCCTTATTGCCAAGCGGTTGATGAGAATATTGCAGGGAGAACCCAACATAAAGCTTAGGATAATTATTAGGATCGTTGAGGCGCTGTATGGAGGTTATGTGATAACTTATGGTAACGTTGGGAGGGGTAAGCAGCGAGCGTGGAAGATGATATATGGGGACTGGGAGGATGGGTATGAGCAGCTGCCAATACTTTTCAATGCAATCAAAACGGTGAATCCAGAC